ACCCAGTGGCTTTGATTGTACCTCACAAACAGGTCACAAATCACATCAGTTGGAGAGCACACTTTCACCGACCGAAATGCCTTTCGGAGTAACCCAACGCTGCATATTGGGACCTCTTCTGTTTTTGATTTATGTCAACGACCTTTCAGATGGTCATTATTATTTCCTTTTCTTTCATTGGGACTATATCTTCTGGCCATTTTTTCGCTGGCAATGTGTTTTTCTAAATTAGTGGCCTGAAGACGACTTAAACATTTTTCTTTGTTCTTATTTGAAGCCCTAAATTCTTTATACGTATTAAACTGTAAAAATTTAGCAGAAAATGTCTGACAGTTCCTTTCATGATTTCCAGGCACCTTTATTGACCTTGTGACACTTACAATCGGAACCCCAGATCTAAGCGATGAGAAGAAAGAAAGCTTGAAAGAAATTTTAAAACCCTCGGTGACTGCGTACATGAAATACCATAGGCCTTCAACACTTCTTGACTTTGATAACTTTTTTGGACATATGACAAAGATTTACAGAACGGCTTTGGTCTCTGTGAAAATTAGTTCTTTGGTAATATCCGTGAAGTGCCCCACTCTAGAGAGTCTTGAGAGGCTGTGGAAAGACTATCAATCGGGTTGCCTTAATGACATCGCTGAGAGATTTCTTGTGACTGATGAACTAAAGAGAAAGCTCGGGTTGGACAACATCAGATTGAAGACAACTATAGAAGAAGAAAACTACTTGATCTGTAAGAGAGCGTTCTTGGAAAACTCAGGTTAGTTGGGCAATCTCGAAAGACCTTTTACTGGGAACAGGTCGTCTGGCGTAATATGTACCTTGGGCAAATTTGCCTTTATATATTTCTGTATCAGTTATTCTAAGGAAAACGTAATGGATAGTCGGTAGGTACAATTGTCTCTCAAAACTTTTTAACCCATAGCCCGTATGTTTGATAGAGAACTGAGTACAAAAGTCCAGCTAAATGTTACCACCTTGGCTGGGATGCCATCTACCACTTTACTAGTAAATAAAGGGGGCATTCGGAGACTAATGGAGGTCAAAAGCAATAGGCATTAAAGAATGCACTTCCTTAGTTGGAAGGATTAGCATTGCTGTGGAGGATGTTTCCTCTTCGTCACTCATGTTCTGGTTCTTGAGCTGCGTGACTTAATTTCCGTAACATCGAAACGGCCTTTCTTCCCGTATCTACAGCTCTTTCCTTGTTTTTGTTTTACTGAGTAGAAAGTAGAAATTTGAATGTGAAGTGTTCCGTTTTTTATTTTTTTTCCATTCAAGTAAAGAGTGCAAAATAGCACAGGAAGTTAAATTCCCGCGTATTGCTCATGATTAACAATTTAACGTAAAAATGGGAGGGCTTGTTAGAAAACTAAAGTTTGTAGTGATTTCGTTCGCATTTTGTTGAATAGATTCTTCCGAAATTTTAAAGCGGAAACCTAAGGTAACACATAAAGAAAGGCTAGAAAAAGGGGTATTGTTGAAATAAACAAAATCTTCCAACATTAAGTAGATTTATGTCTGATGCCAATTAGAAGTGTCATTTGTTTAAGGCGGACATCATGTATTAAACGAACACCAAAGCATTCGCCGAGGGTGCCCGCTTAAAACAAGTTTCACAGGCCGTTATAACTTGTACTTTGTTGTTGGTGACACTATTGTTTTTATTACTAGGAGAAGCAAGTATCACCGAAACTTCATGTCAAACAGTTGATTCAGGTCAGGTAGAGGATTCAAGGTGGAGGGAAGTAAGCTCAGATGTTGTAAAAGTAATATATTTCTTTTAGTTGCTGATTACTTTGTTTAGTTCAGTTCCCATTGGGATATAAGCAACTCCTTGTGAATTTCTCACCACTTGACACGACCAGTTTACTCATGGCTGCTTTTTTCGTTTTCTTGTGTATGAGGTTTATAGCTATACCTACGTTATATTTGTATTTATTCTTTTGCATCGCTTTTTTAAAATAACCTGACTCCATTTACTTTGTTATTTGTTTGTTTGTTTTTCTGTTTGTTTGTTTTTTTTTTGCTCAGCATATCTTGTTAGCGCTTATCATGTATCTTAAATGTGGCCTTTCTTAGTGCTTTGTATCTTGTTTTTTGCGTACATCCTTTATATTTTGGTGCTTTTGCTGTAAACTCTTATTGGTATAATAAACTGGATTGCTGGTGGTTCCCTCCATTCATCATTGTGCTGTTTTGTCTCTTAATACTTATAACAGAAATATTTTCTATTCGGCTGAGCGTATCGATAGAGAATAAAAGTATATTTTCTTTGGGGATTGGTGAAACGGGCGATATAATCAAGCAGGAATGTAACAAGGCAGCCAATGTAGATCAAAAAATTTTTACCAAGGAGTTATATATAGGGTTTGGACCTTGTGTTTCATAATAATAACCTGAAGAACCGCCATGTTAGATACCACTTGAAACAAAATGCTGAATAGGGAGATTTGCTAGTTAACTGTAAATTGGGTGGAAGTTTTATACCAAATAGATACTAGTAGTGGCACAATAAGTTAATTTTTATTTATTTATTTATCTATTTATCCATTTATTTATTTATTATTATCCTAGGACAAGGAACAGGCCTTGGCACCTATGGCCAGAGCTGAGAAGGCTAAAGTATGTTCAGCGGGAAGATCATTGAGATACATATTGTAGTGTGCGCTCGTTGTGTTTTTCTAACAAAGCAAAACAAATATGAAAAACTTCACTTGGTGGCGTGATTAAAGTGCCATGTTGATAACGACTTGCACATATCCTACGTGAAGATAGCCCCATCTAATGATTCTTAAACTGTGGGATCTCATGGGCTGCATTCAGTGGTTATATTCATTGGTTCGTGAAACAGGAAAAGACGGGTTACAAGTTTCTTATGCTCTAGTTTAACTTGAGAAAGCCCGAAGGGACTAATCTTAGTCAATATTTTGAGGACTATTTGAACGTTTTCAAATGGCACAATCCGACTATATTATCGAAAAGTTGTCGGCATATCCTTAACGCTTCCAAAGCCGGATAATGTCATGGGATAATCAGCCATGCAATTATTCTTGTTGTATGCTGTGCAGTGAATATGCCACTTTGTACTGGGTTTGTTTCATTGAACTTTCAAAGGCTAGGGCGCATACCCAATGGTGACGTCAAGTCACGTTCTACCAGCCAAACGCATCTTGTTTTTATTACATCCTCAGATCGTCCCGATGCCGCGTCCCGATCAGAGACCTTCTGATTCTGGCTCAGAATCAACAACAGATAGCGAGGTAGAAAGCGAGGTAAGTTGAGAACGTTTGGGAAGGTTGCTCTTTAGTAAACCATGTAACTGTTACCACGTGATTGTTACAAAGAGTGTGCTTCTAGATTCTCTCGTACAAAGTGGAACTAATATTATATCTTAAGTATGTCTAATGCCGTCACTGGAAACCTCTTGTCGGTAAAATTTGGTCAGAATGTTTTACCTCTTGCATAAAGAATAATTAATATGCTTTTGATAATTAAATTATTTAAGAGCGCGGCGAACAGCGATCTATGAAGAAATTCATAAGGAAAAATTTGGTCTCTGCTACATCTTTTGAAACGCTTATCCTGTTTTAGAAGCGATTTAGATGAAACTTTACAGAGGCATTGTGGAATGAAAAAAGTTTAGGGTAGTTGTTTTCTATTTGGTAGGTCACGCGTTACGGCAATGCTTTAAGCCACAGTTGCACCAAATTGGGAAATCGTGATTTTGTGTCCAAGTTTGTATAGGTAAGCACATGATTTTTTTTTCTCGTGCAATTTGGAATAAATAAGCACGAGTAAATTTTTTAGAGACCAACAAAAGTGCACGAGCCCGTAGGGCGAGTGCACTTCGTGGTCTTTGAAAAATTTACAAGTGCTTATTTATTCCAAATTGCAAGAGAAAAATCATGTGATTGCTTATTAATAATATACACGAAAAACATGACTACTACAACAAATTTTGACAGCGCGCGCGTTTTTAGTTCATTTAAGTGATTGGCTGAAACAGACTACTACCTTTGTCTAATTCAAACTTTTTCAAGACCAACGCTTTCAAAATCATTCAGCCAAGAACTTGGAAATGTGCAAGGATTGATTTTATATGGTCACCAGCCTGTTAAATAACTCGGTTTACAATAATCAGCAAAAGCTACAACAACAAATTTTGACAGTGCGCGCTTTTTTAGTTCAGTCAAGTTATTGGCTGAAACAGACTACTACCTTTGTCAAATTCAAACTTCTTTCAAAATCATTCAGCTAAGAACTTGGAAATGTGCAAGGATTGATTTTATATGGTCACCAGCCTGTTAAATAACTCGGTTTACAATAATCAGCAAAAGCTACAACAACAAATTTTGACAGTGCGCGCGTTTTTAGTTCATTCAAGTGATTGGCTGAAACAGACTACTACTATACCTTTGTTAAAATTCAAACTTTTTCAAGACCAACGCTTTCAAAATCATTCAGCCAAGAACTTGGAAATGTGCAAGGATTGATTTTATATGGTCACCAGCCTGTTAAATAACTCGGTTTACAATAATCAGCAAAAGCTACAACAACAAATTTTGACAGTGCGCGCGTTTTTAGTTCAGTCAAGTTATTGGCTGAAACAGACTACTACCTTTGTCAAATTCAAACTTTTTCAAGACCAACGCTTTCAAAATCATTCAGCTAAGAACTTGGAAATGTGCAAGGATTGATTTTATATGGTCACCAGCCTGTTACATAACTCGGTTTACAATAATCAGCAAAAGTGTTTTAAATTCATCCTCGATTATGAGAGCTCGGCGTTTACAAGAAGCGTTTACAAGAATTATACTGCCGTTTTGAAATCAGGAGAACGTTTCAAGCAGACAAAGATGAAAGACGCTTGCTAAGGCTTTTTAACGACTGTTCATCATTGTCTGCTCCTGAGACCCCATCATAGCTGGATTCATGGAGAAATTTTTGAGAGTTTAAAACCCGAAAATGAAGGAGGCAATTTGTTTTGTTCCAACGCTGCCATTGATGGGTGAGTGGAGCCACAGTTGTTGTGATGTCGGAAACTGCCAGTATTAATATAATATTTGCTTTTTCTCAGCGCTGGAGTTTTCATTATTTCATTTGGCCCACTGCAATAGTCATCATAGCTCTTCTTCGTCGGCTTCATCGTAGTCGTTAAGGAAATTTATACCTCTGTGGCCTGTGACATTGGCGATATGTTCTGAACTTACAACCTTTGCTTTCTTCTGCTTCCTGACAGTTGTTTTTCTTGCACAATGATTCGTAAACTTTTTTCTTACAATATATGAATAAAATCATCAACTTGCAGAGAAACCACGGTGGTCTAGTGGTTAGAGTAGTGGTATGCAGACCCTATGCTCCGGGATTGGATCCCCTCATATTCGAGGGAATTTTTTTTCCTTTAAAATTGAACGGACTTACATTTGCTGATCAGAAACTAAGTCTCTCACTTTATTCTAAATCGACGTATGATAGTTTGGTTTGGCTGTGATTCTTCGATTTGTCAAAATTATTGAAAAAAATATCGGACTGACGGTCATTTAGTGTTTTGAAAAACTTGACCGGTTACCGGCCATATAGCCGCAGCCTTTACTATTTTCCAAGCAAATTTCCCTCTGTTCTAAATCACACAAACAGCATAAGAGCTACGAGCCCCAAATTTATGTATCATTTTTATCAAAAATTGAACATAACTGCCCTCCAAAATGGTTTAAATTGGTGTTGGATTCGTGATTCGTGGTTGGCCAATTTAATGTTGTGTTTTCATTGTCGTTTCTCAAACCTATCTTGCAGCGTAGATCACAGTCGAACAAATTTCCTTAAACGTGGCAGATGGAATAGACAGTCTTAACCTCAGGAATTTCAAGTTTCGTGTAAATCGCTCGATTTTTGTGCGAACAGTAAGACTGAGCACCATAGTTAGAAAATTTGCTCGTATCGCCAGATCAAAGCTTCAAAATAAATTTCAGCAAGAATGATTGAACTTATACATATCAAAAATCGAGAATTATCTGGCCACTTCCGACGCGAGCACGTTAGAAAAATACTAAAACTCGCTCATAATTAAGTTGGTCACCTTAAACGCGATCAAAAGGAAGATAATTTCCAAATTTAGGTCATCACTGACAAAGATTTTGGATAGCCCTCTCAGCCTCATATCACCTTCACTATTCCTTGCCTATGGCAGCATTTCTACCCTTTAGCTATACTAGTATACTTTTTATATCACATCTGAGGTGAAACAGTACTATGAGGCGCTGTATTTATCATTCAGACCTTGGACAGAATGCAGTATTTCACAATTTTTCAAGACAAATTGCACTCAGTCAATATTCAGGACGATCAATCGTGGGCCGTTAACGAAACCGTTCAAAAAATTTCCAAAATCACCTATACGGCCAGCCGGTTCTCACTTTTGGCAAGCGGTCGAGTGTGTGAATTGACATTAAGCAAGCTATGCAGCCTTCACTTTTAGTCTGCGGCACTGGTGGACATATTTCCTAAGAACATTACCGGATATTGCAGATCTTGAACCACTCGAGTGCGCGATTAATGAGGTTCTTATACCAGCTGTCACTGTCCATACAGTCACTAAAGTAGAGCGCGACCTCCTTGGTCTGCCTGTACGCATGGGAGGCCTTGGATTTACAGATCCTGTAGAGACCTCATCTTCTGAATACGAGGCTTCAATAAAAGTTACTAATCCGCTCGTGAGGCGAATTGTTGAGCAAGAGCACCAGCCTCCAGATGCCTCAGAAAGTCGAACACTGCAACTGAGCACACGAAAACAAAAAGACGACTGTCTAAGTGAGAGGCTGGAGCAGGTGAAGAACTCCCTGCCAACAGAATCGAAGCGAGCTGTTGAGTTAGCTACAGAGAAGAGATCATCAAATTGGCTGACCGTGATTCCCCTAAAAGAGCTGGATTACAATCTGAATAAGAAGGAATTTAGAGATGTAATCAAGTTACGTTACGACTGGGAAATAACGGACACGCCCATGATCTGCGCATGCGGTGTTCAATTTAGCGTGGATCACGCAATGGTGTGTCAGGGTGGCGGATTCATTATCCAGCGCCATAACGAACTGCTCGACTTGGAAGCAGAAATGCTAAAGATGGTCTGCAATGATGTGGAAGTAGAGCCGGTCCTTCGGGAGGTCACTGGGGAGACATTAAATCCTGGCGCTAACAAAATCGCTGATGCCCGTTTGGATATTCATGCTCGAGGTTTTGGGGAGAGACAGAGAGATCTGCATTCTTCGACGTTCGGGTGTGTCACCCTAATGCAGACTCTTACAGAGACTTGACTCCTAAGCAAATCTACAAGAAGCATGAGAACGAGAAGAAGAGGCAGTATGCGGAAAGAGTAATGGAGATCGAACAGGGAACGTTCACTCCCCTAGTTTTCACGATTACAGGTGGAATTGCTGATGATTGTGTTAAGTACCACGGCAGACTTGCGGAGCTGATCGCAAATAAGAAGGGAGAAAGTTACTTAATCGCAATTTCCTGGATAAGAGCTAAAGTATCTTTTGCCATCGTACGCTCTGCAATACTATGCTTGAGAGACTCAAGATCCAGAGGACGACAGCTAGACTTTGTTGACTCAGATCCACAGATCGAAAATATTAGAGCCTGCCCGAATTAATGAATTTTTTTTTAAGAACTGTTTTTTAAAGAATTAGGAATTTAGGAATACAAGATTTTATTATTTTTAACTTGTTTCTTTTTAATATTAGAGACGGATGATTCTATTTGGTAATGACTAAATTTAAAACTCTGGACTGCCTGCAAGAGTTATTGATCGCATCTGAGCCGCGAGGAATTTATTTGGGAAATCGTTATTGACACAGTGATTGTTATTTTTATGATTTATATAACTCTTAATGTTATTTTGTGCTTAATTCTTACTTCAAATATTTCTGTAAATTATGTACATATTTTTTTAAAGTTGAATAAAATTGTTGTATTATTATAATAAAAATTAAATTTGAAAGTGGTTAGACAAATGATGATTTTCACAATTGAGGCAACTGTCTAGTGGTTTGAAACATCTTACGAGTGGTCAAACTATTATTATTGTTCAGTAAATTATCACATGTTTGCATGCATTAGGAATTTTTTTGTCATGTGTCATAAAATGATGGTACTGCAGTAGTTGGAGAAATATTTAACTCTGTCTTGAGCAATAAAACAGATCAAATATGTGCAGCAACACTTTCCCTCAAGTTATAGCAAGGCAGCATACTACTCATTAACGAGCTAACATTTTTAAAATGGAAGTGAACACAAGGTCCTGAGCATGCAAATATGGCATAGGGCACACAAGAGTTACTGTATGTTTGGCTTTGATTCCAGTTAAATTCACAGACGTGTAACAGTTACCCTCTCTTTATCCCCTCTGTTTACGCTAGAACTGGATACACATGTATGTACTTGGGCCACGCTTTTTCCAGTAATTATTGGAACAAGCGTGGCCAAAAGGGCAATTCTATATAGTACAATTTATAAAAAACAGTGAGTCCCATACAAAATGTGGACCGTAACTTGACATAAACAAAAGTCAATGTTTACTCCTGCTATCACACCAAGTGGATGGGTTGCCAATAGTTGCTCATTCAAGATTCAAAACAAAAGCTGATTTCCATGTAATTTGGATGCACCTAAGTATTAAGTGTTTTTTATTCAACATGGACGTCTGCTTTTCACAGAGAGAACAATATAAAACTGATAAGAATGCAGCAATTCCTTCAAAAACTGGTAAGAAGTATAAATCTCAGTGGGTGATCATGTCAATATAACGGGTTAAATTTGATTTCAAGTAATTATTCTCAATTTCCTTCTTCTCTATGGGCTAGGAAACAAAGGAAAATGACTATCAACCAGGGTTAAATCAAGATTAACCTGAAAACAAATTTGACCATAACAATGCTTTGCATGAATTCTCACTGGTTGAGAAATGGTTAGAAATGCATTAATGTTCAGAATATTACATGTACTCTCTCGTTTCTGGTAATCTTATGCTTCCTACGATGTTCATTAGGTGTCTGGTTTGTCCTTTGTTCTTCCCAGCGAAAGCGGTTTACATGGACCTGGGATCATCCTCTTGCAAGGATCTTCCTACCTCTCCGCTAGGAAGATCTTAGTGCCCTGGAATAGTATAACCCTAACCTTTGCATGTAAACCAAATACAGAAAATATAAGGCGCTCTGATGATATGCCTTCCTAATGCTATGTAGAATCTTAGCTTTCTTCCTTCAAGTAAAAGGCCACTTAGGTGCTCTTTTTACCAGCAACATCGGGTAGTTTCAATCCCCCCGGCCGCCCACCTAGCACTGAATATCATGTCCAAACTCTTTGCCTCACATACATGCTACATTTTTTAAATTAAAATTTTGACCACTTTCACTTAAAAAATTAGCCAGAGCTGTTGTCTTGCCCCTTTCAAGAAAGTTTCCTTTGGTAGTTGTATTCCGGATTCCAAATTTTACTATTCCAGATTCCCACTGTAGCTTACTAACAAATCCTCGACTTCCATTCAATTTCGAGATCGATTCCTTACAATGCATGCTAAAAGAAGTTTCGTTGAAGAACTGGTGCTCCTTTTCCTCTTTCTAGACGCTTCTCCGGTCAAAAACTTTTCACACTGCAGCTCATCGATCTACATCTGTAGTTCAGGTCTGTTGAAATCCCCTTCTTTCTTTGTCGTCTCGGCCACTTGCGCCCTACAAGACACGATTAAGGGAAGCAAGGTTTTGAGTAACAAGAAGTAACGGTCCGAAAGAGAGATTTCGTGGCCACGATCGACCGCGGACATGGCAGCAAAACAACAAGAATAGGTACCGATGGGGTACATGTGGAGGCTAGGGATAAGTTGTTAACGTTGTCATTAACCTTGAGATTTTGTGAACTTGCTATGCTGTAAATGTAGGAAAAGAAGATTTTGTCAGATTGAATACAGGGCAAGTTTGGGTGGTGCAATGAGTGCACAGGGCTTTGTTCCAAGTAACATGAAATGGGACTCAAAGTTTGCCAAGTTCAAAATTTGGGGTACCCAGCACTAAAGATATGTACAGTGGTTGGTCAAAAAGGAGTTACTCCCATGAGAAGAAAAGCTGGCGTCGCTCCACATCTTTCAGCCAAAACGTTTTCTTTGTATATCACTTTTATTTCAGTTTTGTTTTTTAAAAGAGGATTGTAGCGTGCATTTGTGTAGAAGAGGTAATAGATTAGACAAGGAAGGATACTGGAATAAGGCTATAAAGGAGGTTAAGTATTAAAAAAGGTAGAGTTTGCATGAAAAGCTGAAATGAGACAAAAGTATTTTACAACAAGACGCTCAGAAGTGTTTGCGTTGGATGCATTGGTGATGCATGCAGCAAGTTTCAATTGTTACTGTAGTAAGAATAAAATGTCTGCATGTGTCTCATGTTAGGGTTGGGAGTTTGTGATAATGGAAAATGGCAGGAAAAAAGGGAAACACAGAGAAACTGTTAAATAATTCAAATACTTTAATTCTCTTAGTGGTCTCAATGGGTATTTTAACAATGGTACTAGTCATATAAACGCCAAGAATTTGCTTTTTTTTTGTAATTACAAACTTTAACATAACTTGTATAGTAATAACACTCTAGCTAACCGCAACAGAACGAATTAGAGTACAAATACAGTGAACGACAACCAATTTAGACATGTTTCAATGTACTTTTCAAGGAAATCTTAAATGCGTTTTAAGGTGTTTACGTTCAAATGGAAATAGTTTTGCTAAAGAGATGTGATTTGGGAATGTGTGAAGTTCTTCTTGAGGGACATTTCTTTTAAGATGAATGTTCTTGAAGTGTTTCCATGACAACTTCCTTATTTAATGAGTTTCGTTGTGCTATGTTGTAACTAAATTATTTCGTTGATTTCCTATTCAAAAAAACATAACGATTTGTTGATTCCACGGAATGATGTAGATAATTCTCACAAAACAATTTTTCTTGGTAAGTGTAACAAAGGACTAATGCACGAATTTCAGTGCTTTAACGGTAACAAACCGGCTTATGCCACGGTACTATGAAATAACGCAAGATAAATAAGCATCAATGTTCTTTTTTAAGCTTGACTTTGATCTGATAATAGTCCAAAATGCTTAGTTTTCCTCAAAAGAGGCTTAGCTTCGCTCCATAGAGGCTTAGTTACTCTTCAGTTACTCTCAAAAGAGTCTCCGTTTCCCTCAAAAGACGCTCATTCATTCTTAGGAAAGGTTCAAGGTTCGCGTGTTTGCGAGCAACGGGTTCGCCATGTTAGCTTGTTGGTCCTTTCCACTTCGTTCGAAATGTTTAGGGTTCTTACGTCCATGTTGGCCGTGGTATGAAAACGGAAGCAACTCCCATAAACACGCAACAACAGGCAACAGGCCTAGGGTGTTCAAACGGACGCAAAATGTAACATCCAACAATGTTGGGAGCTGTTGGCCGTTTGCACGGGGCTTAAGGTTGCAGACTGATGAAACTGGCTTTCATCAACTTGATTATCAGTATGGCTGATATGATTACAATTTGGTTAAAGAATGTTATTTTTTTTTAAAGGCGTCGAAAGGTTCTCTGCACAGGGCTTCTGTAAGTGGACAACACGAGACGGTTAAAGAGCTTCTTGAGAGTGGTCAAGATGTGGATCAAAGTGACGAGGTATTAGTCTTTTTCAGTTTATGTAAATCTAATGTTATGCCCAGCCTCTCGCGTTCGCGTCACTTGCGGATTCTTTTTCTTCATAGTGAATAACAAAATTGGGCGAACGGTTTGAAACGCCCTTAAATAACAGTCCACAGATCAAGTTAAGGGAATTTTGAAATGTCTTGACAACAAGAGTTGCACAGTGGGATGTTATTCTCGTGGGGCGAGTTATTAAGGGAAAAACAGGAATTCGCCAGTTATTTTAGCCAAAATTGTACTAAAATATCGACGTCTGCAGTGAGACTACCCAGTCTTTTGGAAACATATAATTTGCTGTGTCATGCAATGTATTTTATAGAACTACATCGTTGACATTCTTTTATATCCTACGTTAAGATAGCCCCATCAAATGATGCTTAAACTGTGGAATCTCGCGGGCTGCATTCAATGGCTATATTCATTCGTTAGTGAAACAGGAAAAGACGGGTCGCAAGATTATCGTGCGTTCGCGTAATTCGCTTGCTCTTACTAGTTTACCATGAGAGAACCTGAAGGGACCACTCCTAGTCAGTTTGAGGACTATTTGAATGAACGTTTTCAAATGGCACAATCCGACTATATGGAAAGGTTGCAGGCATATCTTTAACGCTTCCAAATCTAAGATGTCATGAGGCAATAAGCTATGTAATTATTTTTTGTTGTGTGCAGCGTAGTGTATATGCCACTTAATCCTGGTTTTTGTTTCATTAAAATTTCAAAAGCTATAGCGTATACTCAATGGTACATCAAGTCACGTTCTACCAGCCAAACGCAACTAGTTTTTATTGCTTCCTGCAGATCAGCCCGTTGCCGCCTCCCGATCGGAGACCTTCTGATTCTGGCTCAGAATCACCAAAAGAGCGCGAAGAAGAAAGCCAGGTAGGTTAGGCTCGGTTCAAACGTCGAATTTCACATGTGCCGAACTTAACGCGAGAGTTAAATGCATGTGAAGTGCGACGTTTGCATCAATTAAATCCGTCTGTTTAAATTAAATGCGACGTTTGCCGTATCTGCGAATGAAACAGTCGAAGATTCGACTTAGGTTCGACTTTTGATTCAAACGTCGCATTTCACATCTGCCGAACTTAATGCATGAATTTTAGAAAATTATTATTATATTACTGGGAATATTGACGGCGAACAGAGTTAAATTCGACGTTTGAATCAAATGCCTTATGTAACTATTTCAGGCGACTAAAATAGGAATTAAGTTCGGCACATGTGAAATTCGACGTTTGAACTGGACCTTAAGAACGTTTGGGATGGTTGTACTGTTGTAACCTATGTAACTGTTACCATGTGTCTGTTACAAAGAGTGTGCCTCTAGATTCGCTCGTACAAAGTGGAACTATTATTATATCTCAAGTATGTCTAATGCCGTCACTGAAAACCTCTTGTCGGTAAGATTTGGTGAGAATGTTTTTACCTCTTGCATAAAGAATAATTAATATGCTTTTGATAATTAAAACGTTTTAGCCCCCGTGGGACACAAGGCTATGAACAGTTTATAAGACAAAATTTTGCCTGTGCTACATCTTTAAAAACGCTTATATTTCGGCTTTTTTAGAGGCGATTTAGATGAAACTTTACAGAGACATCGTAGAGTGATAGAAGTTTAGGTTGGTTGTTTTTTTATTTGCTAGTTCGCGCCTTAAGGCAATGCTTTAAGCTAGAGTTACACCAAACTGGAAAATTGTGATTTTGTGTCCAAATTTGCGTAAAGAATAGAAGACAGCACTCTGAGATTTTATTAATAAACGATCAGTCAAACCCCCTAGTGTGTCATGTATAGAGCAAATTTTACAATTTAAAGATTGCTTGCAAGATATAATCGTTTAATTGAGTAAAATCTGTCATCCCTGAAATTAACGCCTGATATCTCTTTATAAAAGCACTCTTTTAGAATTCCGCTCTATATATTTGTTTCCTTATTATTGAATGATTGATTAGGAACTACTTAAACAACATGTACATTACCGCATCTATATCAATAAAGAACTACTACAAATACACAAAAGACACTTCCTACGTATAGTACTAATGCAACTATTACTACTATTACAAAAACACAAGAAGCAAGATGTATTTTATTCCCACCACCACGGCAGAATAACTGAGATTTTTCCCACTTACATTCTCAGTCGGCTACTTTGTTATTTTGTTTCTTTTCTGACTGGTGAACATGGCTGACTTTATTTTTAAAAAATTGCAAAGGAAGGATAAGTGCATTAATTACGGCATTCATAAAATATGTCGCTTAGCTACGACTAACATGTGATTAATAAACAAGTAATATTCTTTCCTTTTCCAAAATCCAAAAGTATGTCGCTGTTTGAAAGGTCCCTTAAGATTATGTTCAGTTTATTACATCAAGTAATGAAGTCCGACCAGAAACTCTAAGGAACATATAATGAACAAGACGCTATCGAAGCGTACACTTAGGCGTCGTTGTTGGGAGGATTTTTTGGTGTGTCAGGCACGTGTGAGGGCCGTAGTGTTGTTAATTGGGTTAGTTGAGATGGGTTGATATGGAGACGTGGAGTCATAGTGTACGTTTCTTGGTATGTAAATACAGTCGAACCTCCACTAAAGGAAAATGTTTCTATTTTCAATACTGTGAGATATGGTTGCATCGCCATTATAATGGTCAATTCCAAGCGTGTCCCTCCCCCCAAAGGCATCAGTCAAGTGCTGGCATCTCCTTTGGCTCTAGACATCTGAACTAGAACGAACAAACTCTCGTCTATAGCCTAACCCATCAATTTCAATCACTCTTGCGAGATTTACGTCCAATTATCGGAAGAAATCGCTCCGTTTCTATGTAAAAAACAACATTCCTCCAAACTGAAAAGTATCCCTGTGTACGTGTTGCTTTAAAATGTCGAAAATGCGTCGCTATAATTTCGACTCATGTTAAACTTATCAAAAAACAGTTCTAAAACAGTAAAACAGTAACAATTCTTAACTAAGGGGAAATTTTGGACCACAATATAGTTTCAGTTTTTGTGTTTTTCCTTTATTTTATTATTACTTGGGCGGTGCGCCAAGTAAAGGATTCGCAACGGTCAGGAATGTTCCAAAGTTGCTTTTTTTGGGACAAGCTTGGGCACGCAAAGTCCATTGGTTTTCGTTTCGAGTCGGCTTTTTAACGAAGTGAGAGTCGAATTAGTTCGAGATTTCTCGAGATCACTTCGAGTTCTTTGATTTATTTTTTTTCTTATTCGAGGAATTAAAAAGAAGCGACTTTTTAAGACATCTAGGTGTGAAAAAATTGCGTAAAAACTTTTCTTTAAAACATTTAAGAAATTTTTCAAAAGTTAAAAAATATATACGACGCTTCGACGTTGTCGGACGTCAATCAATTAAAAAAATTTACGGAATTAATGTTCTATAAATAGAGGAAAGACAATAGTTTAAAAAGAAAAGTAACATATAAAAATATGTTACAAGTTAAGCAAAGAGCTTAGCACCGTAACGTAACTAATTAACATCAGTACACTACCTCACAAAACTTGCTGAAAATGCACAATCTCCACACCGAAGATAATTCATGTACAACATCGCAACATAAACTAGAAATACGTATCTCGCAATAACCCCCGAGAAACTTGGTTTCTTAGTAGCGCCACTCAAGTTAAGCCCTGTCGGGCGGGGTGAGGAACTGGATAGGTAACTCACAGCGAACATTGTCGTGAAGGTCACTACTTTATTCTTTCTTTTCTTTTTCTTCTTTTTAGCCTATTTTGTGGTGTTATGTTTAAAAGTGTATTGAAAAGCATATGTATCATTATTTCGGCCGATGGATTTAGAAAAAAAACACAAACACGGCAGTACAGTTCGCGGGAAAATTATTATAAGCTTACTTCGGGCTGTAGTATAGAACTGAAACTTTGATCTATCGGCGGGGGATTTAACGGGGAAGCTAATAAATTTGGGTTCTCCACGATGTAAAACGAATTCCAAGCTAGATTTCAGGGGAAAAAGACAGGGTTTCGACGGTAAAAAGCCAAACTGAAATGCACTTTGGAGAAACATCACGCGACATAACAGGACATAAGCAAACTCGTCTGAGAAGTGAGATGCATTGAAAATTGCTCTTGTGTCTCGATTTTCGCTCGTATTTTGAAGCTACTAGCCCAAACTGCTTAAATGTTTTCTGTAAAATACTTTGGCATTCAATATTTCTAGCCAGAATAATAAATAAAAATAAATCAAAAAACGCGAAGATAGCTCGAACTAATTCCGAAGCAATTTCGGGACATCTAAATTTACAAACAAGTGACTGAACAGTGTGCGAAAGCCAACAAACTCCTTGGCTTTGTGCGCCGAGCTTCTAAGTACATCCATAGCGCCCAAACGCGTCGTACACGTTATCTTTCTATGCCATCTCGGCTATGCAACCCAAGTATGGTCGCCACAGTCCATTGGCTTACTAAAGCGAGTTGAAAACGTGTAGCGCCGTGCAACAAAACTAATTTTGAAGCTTCCCTTCTGTTGCGATGTACGAGTATCCTCTGTACTCTCCATGGCTGCTGGACATCTTTCATCAGCGCGGAAAAGTTATTGACAGCTCGCCCGCTACCAAAAGCTCATCCCCCAAGTGACACAAAATGTCTCACTTCTCCGAGTTTGTCTAGGCCTCAAAAACTTTCTCGGACCACGTGACCCGAAACGCATCGGCCGCGCATAATAACGAGGCCTAGGGACTAGGCAAGGTAACCACTTAAGAAAGCGGTCAAAAATAGGGTACTTTACCATGGGGAAAATTGTAATAGAGAGCAATTAATATCACTGTAGATTACCACGTCTTAATATGGTATATAATCGACTCTCTAGGACTCACAAACTATTTTATCACGCATCAAACGAAAAAACCTAAGGTTTTTTAGTGATATGAGGTGTTCTCTTACTTTCTGAGTGGCGACCTTGAAGTATTTCGTATCCGTGGTGCGGTTAACGCGCAAATCTGTCATCGAACCACCATGGCACAGCAATGGCTAAAATCGTTCTCGCGTTGCCAATCTGGATTTATCCTTTAGAATTGCCTCTCGGTCCGATTATTTTTATCAGAAAGTGGTTTTGTTACGAGTTTATGGATAATTGAGACCATTGGCCTTAGATCTTACTTGATCCATCTTACTTGGAGTGGTGTCAAAAGTTAATGACCTAAGGCAGACTTGACCTTCGTTCATGTAATCTACTTTTTATTGCATCAAGGCTTAATACCAAGTCTGATAGTTTTGTTTCATAGCATCAAGAACCTGGTGCCACAGCTGTTGATGCTTTCAGTATTACCTAGGCTAATTTCAATTGTTACGCTTTTCCTCAGTTTTAGTCAGCTGTCTCGAGTTTCGGCCTCGTTAAACACAAAATTCTTCCAAATTTGGTCATCAGCAACTGGTTATGGTGAATTATGCGTGTGCTTTTAGCCAATCAGAATTGGGGAAATATTTTGAATGAATAATAATATACATTTTTGCGTCTTCGAGAAGAGATTAAACTTGATTTGGCGCAAATTTTGTTTTATAAGAGCAGATAATTTATAACGTACAAGCTCACAGAGCTAGAAATGGGACTAGAACTGACTTGATCTAGAACAACCAGTACTGCAGTATTGATGCCCCTGCAATAGATGCAACATTTATCAAAGTTAGGAAAAAAAGAGGCTTTAGTTTTGTTATGCTCTCTTTTTGAGAAAGTGCGAGAGAGTGAGATACTTATCTGCCAGCTTGGCACAAGGAGGGTGGGCGGTTATACGGGGGACTGGGCGCTAATATGAGCACGGCTTCTTATTCTGCAAAATGGGTTATAAAAGGAAGGTGGGTAGTAGTTTCCTTTGTATCTAAAAACCTCCAAGTGAGTCATTTTTCTTGACACTACTCTTTTGAAATTGTATGAATTCACCGAAAAATATCATGTCATTTATAAATTGACATTTCTCAATTATTTCCTTTCCTAATCTTCCTAGGACAAGAAACTGGTCCTGACCCATATGGAAAGAGCTGAGAGAGCAAAGGTAAGTTCAGTGCGATATTTAGTGTATTGTCAGCTTATTGTGCATTTAAGAGAAGTAAAATAAATCCGTCTTGTTGAAGACTAGCACATGAATTAAATTCAGAAGAGGCGGGGTTTATTACTACAGGCAGCATCGTTATTCAACTGTTTGAGCAGCGAGTCACCTTACTTTATTGGAGTTGTGAGGAATGTTATAGGGAATGCTGGAAGGGGCGGAGTAAAAGCCAGGATAGTTTTACCCTGAAGAGGGGGTATCTACTAGAAAATCAACTAATGTAAATTGATTGGGTATGCAGGCTGTAGAATTTTTATTCACCTTGCGATTTACTTAACTTTTTAAACAGGCATCGAGAGGCCCTCCACACAAGGCTGCTATCAGTGGACAATACGAGACGGTCAAAATGCTTCTTGAAAGTGGTGAAGATGTGGATCAAAGAGATCAGGTTTTAGTCATATCCATTTTATTCAAATGCCGTGTTAAGGCCGACCTCTCGCGTTTGTTTCAGTAGCAGATTCTCTCTGAATATTAAAACAGCGTAGCAATTTCAGTTATCTGTGAAAAGTTGAGCCCCATAAACCAAATACTTTCGGCGAAATTATCCGACAAAAACTTGAAACTTCCTAAAGATTGTATAGACTCATTAACGTCTTTACCACTCAGCAATTTCGCACTTTTCGATAGCTACTATTTTCCTTGGTATTACTTGCAAGGAGCTGAAATTGCACAAATTGTTTAAATTAACCAACTCTTTTAATTATCGTGTAATGCCGCGTATGAGTCTACTATCCATTTCACAAGTTAAGTAAAATCACTCCACACAAGTTCTTGAAAGGCCACCATTGTTACGGACCAGCTGGCTTCTTTCAACCTCACCTAACTGTGTTGGTTTTTCCTATTTTCGGTAGTTTTTTCTGACCCCTCTTCATCTTGCCTGTTGGTATGGACAGGAATCTGTTGTCAATCTATTGTTAAAACATGGTGCAAACGTCAACGCTGAAGACAGGGTGAGTTAGTGAACTTTTAGTGCCGGCAAGGACGAAAACGTTTTGTATTGAATGTTCCATTGCTCAGCCAAATACAGTTGCTCTAATTCCATCTGTGGTATCCTTTAGTCTCACCTGTATCACTTCACCAGAGTCATTGTTAAGTTTCCTCCTTTTCTCCTAAATATTTAAGCGCCTTCTCCATCATGGCTTCTATACCACTTAAGTGAATAAGCCACTTTACAACTGTCAAAGGGGGTTTGATGACTTAGTGCGCTTGTAACAGAAAATGAATCAGGGGATTATTGCTAATTACAATCCTATAAGACCAAATCATGTAAAGAATTAAAAGCAGCAACAATAACGAAAAAGTGCTTAGTTCTCAGAGGATAACCAAACGCTTTTTGGTTGTTTGTTTTTTGTTTTTGCTGATGTTTTTTAAGGCTGACATTAGATCTTGTTACAAAACTATTTAGTTTAAGATGTCGCTGTGGTAAATAGCAAGTGGTAATTAACACGTATTAAAGTGCTTATAATGGTTTTAGTTTCAACGTACACCGCTGCAAAAAGCTGAACGTCAAAACCACCACTCCGTAATGCAGTTGCTGTTGAAGAATGATGCCAGGCCAAGTAATCAACCAGTAAGATATCAGATTTGTCTTCCCTGTGTCCTTTGTGCCAGGCACTCTTTCTCTTACACTTTCTTAAATATCTACCTAAAATCATGAACATTTCTGTAGGACCTACACATTATCATACGAGTGTTTTACTCGCTTTTATCTTTGAAATACCTTATATTTGTTTTTTTCTATAGCTAAATTAATTTCATAAAAGTCGTCACGTCTATCCGGACGTCACGATGCACTTTATTATTTCTTTGAAATTATTGACATTAGCCGACTTACTTGGGATGTCGATTGCTCTGCAGATACACCCTTCCCCCTTGCCTCCATTGAATTTTTGTTTTGTTGTAGGATCTGCCAAAGGGTTAAACATTTATTAGATATCTTGTAATGAGCACTACAATGTCATCTAAATATTACAGGATGTGACAGGGGCTTTGCTTCTCAAATTTCCCCAAATGGACTAGAACTTACAATCGGTGACAAAACTGTACTTGAGATGCTTTGTTCTCGGCGAAATTCTTCCTAATTAGTGGATATTACCTACTTGAAAAAGAAAAAAGACAATCTTTTCCCTCTTTTCTCCCCTAAACAATGTTTCGCCGCTGCTCAAGTTAAAACAAGTTAACGTCAGCATCGTTCCCAGTCGTCCTCGGCGATTTCGGATGTGACGTCACCTGTCAAGCTTGTCGGGAAAATTCACCGAGAACTCGCACTATCGCACTTGGTTCCAAGCCTCCTCTGGTAACTCGCATAGCGCGAACTGGCCTGGCTACGAGGCTGAGTTAACGTTAGTTGGGAGGGCCAAGGGAGAGTTCAGAATGTTTTGGTTCGAAAACTTTACTTTATTTGACGACTCAATAATTGTCTCAACAATCACATGTACGTCCCCGACAAGAGCAATTTTCATGCTTTTCAAACTCAGAAATATATTCATGCTGTTATGACTAATCTTGCTGGAGGTAAGAAGATGCTAGCGAGCCGCAAAACCACAAACTAATTACCGTTGCTGTTTGCAGCCTAGTTTTCCCACACCTGATTCGCTTTTTCCTCTCTAAACAATAACCTTCCAGATATATTTTATGATGTTCACAGTTTTCTCAGTTTGACAGGGAACATTTTGCACAAAAAAGTACGAGAACCTCACATTTCTGGTTGAAAGTGGCCTGACCTTTTGTCACCTATGACGTCATCTCTTGCAAACATAGCAACAGACTACCAAAACATTTTATGTAGAATGTCCTATTTGCAATAAGAATACAGGGGAAGCTCGTTTATCTTTTTTCTTCCAAAAAGACTTAAAGTTAGTGTCAAATGAATTACCTCGTTTAATTTGCTCATAAACATAATCATTTTTATTATAGGTAAGTTTAAAGAATCTCTCAAGAAAAGCTTTCTTACAAGTGGATAAAAAGTCTGGATTTAATCTGCTCCAGGCTGCTGTCTTTGAGCAAGATAACAACATGATTTTAAAAGCTTCTGTCCTTCTTGATAACTTTGTTAAAGAGATGGAAAATGTTATAACGGGATATAACGCCGCCAAGTTTTTAGCTGGGAAAACTGCAGCTGATATATTAGTGCAGAGGTTACTAACTAGAACAATATACGATGAACCGATGCTTCATGCTACTCAAAGACTTTATAAAGAGTGTGCTGAGGAAAACAGGCAGCTAACTGAGCTGCAGTGGGGTACATGTATTGATGATGCGGAACAGGCAGTTGAACTTGTATTAACTGACAGTGTAGATGTTAATGCCTCAGGATCAGACAATGATTACACAGCCTTGTTGCATGCAAGTCGGTCATCCTCAAGTCAGTTCATTGAGACCCTCATTGACCTTGGGGCCGACGTTAATGCTCAAAGGAGAGAAACTAAAGTTACACCTCTGTTATTAGCAGCTGACTGTAACAGCTACATGGCATCCTGTTTGCTTGTAGAACATGGAACTGAAGTAAATGTTCAGGATAGATATGGGTTAACAGCACTGCACTTGTCAGTCAAAAAGAATCATGACCATCTCGTCAGATTATTAGTTACAAACAAAGCGAATGTAAACATTGAAGATAATCATGGAAATACACCTTTGCACTGGTGTGCTACAAATGGTAACGAAAACCTCTGTAGATTGTTACTTGAACACAACGCAGATGTAAATATTCAAAATAAAGATGGAGATACAGCATTGCACGTGGCAGTCGAAAACAGCTATGATGAAAACCTCTTAAGATTGTGTCTTGAACACCACGCGGATGTAAATATTCAAAATTATAGAGGATATACAGCATTGCACTTGGCAGTGGAAATGAGTGATGAGAACCTCGTCAGATTGTTACTTAAACACAATGCGAATGTAAATATTCAATGTAAGAATGGATATACAGTATTGCAGTTGGCTTTCAAATTGCGTGATGAAAACCTCGTAAGATTGTGTCTTGACAACCACGCGGATGTAAATGTTCAAGATAATGATGGATATACAGTATTGCACTTGGCAGTCAAAGGGGGTGATGAGAACCTCATAAGATTGTGTCTTGAACACCACGCGGATGTAAATACGCAAAGTAAAGATGGAAACACACCCCTGTTCCAGGCAGTCATCAGAAATGACGAAAACCTCGTCAGGTTGTTACTTGAACACCACGTGGATGTAAGTATTCAAAACAAAGATGGATATACACCCCTTCACATGTCAGTCATGTTAAATAATGAAAACTTCCTTAGATTGTTTCTTGAACACAAGGTAGATGTGAATTCTCAAAGTAAAGATGGAAGCACTCTCCTGCACCAGTCAGTCAAGAGTCATGACGAAAACCTAGTCAGGTTGTTACTCCAACACCACGCGGATGTAAATATTCAAGATGATAAAGGATGTACACCCCTTCACCGGTCCGTCAGAACAGGTGTCGAAAACCTCGTTAGACTGTTACTTGAATACAACGCGGATATAAATATTCAACAGAAAGATGGACTCACACCGTTGCACCTGTTAGCCTCTTACATGGGCGAGAATTGCAGTCAGTTAATCGATCTCCTCTTTCAGTATGGGGGGCAAAATATAGACATCTGTGATGCAAAAGGTTTGACCCCTCTTCAAAGGGCAGTGACACGTGGTAACGCACAAGCTGTGAAAAGGCTCGTTGATCTAGGAGCTGATGTCAGTGTGGTTAAGGATGCCGTTAAACTGGAACGATTGAAGAATAAAGCGGGAAGTGTGGAGTAGCATCTTAAGGTATTTCGATACAGTTTTTAAGAGGCCATACTGATATTTTTCAATCGCCTTAAAAGTGGTTTTTTCCTTGTCCGATTGCTATAAAATTTTCACCAGTAACTGGCTATGAATTGAAATTGTGAAAATGTAGTTTTAAGTAAAATCGATATTACTATGACAACAATAAACAAAAAACTTTGAAATTGATGAAAGCCAGATTTTGTGTGATCTAGACCAGCTACAGAAAATCCAACACTAGGAACATGGATATATGTAATGTCCGCATTAATTTGGAAAAATTAGTATAACGTCAAAACAGTGAATGTTGTAGCGCGGATTTTTGACCGGTTTGTAGGATAGGTTTGTCTTGAAATTTCAGGGTGTTGTAGTGAATCAATCTTAATGAATTTTTCAGACATTATTATATACATTATGAAGATTATGTGAAGAGATTTTAAAAAAATTCGTTCGAGTCTTTTCAGAGATATACAAAGAGGCGCGAAAAGTCCAAATTTTGAATGAAGTTGCACCTATACAGGTGGTGAGAAAACGGGTTAGTTTTTAAGATCGCAAGAACGAAAATACGCCAAAATTTCGTGGCATCAAAATATGATATTAAGCAGCATCCTGAAGCTACTTAAGAATAATTTGAGTAATTTATAACGTTTTTATTAAATAATCTATCACGGCTATCGAAAATTTAAGGTTTGAAATATATTTTCGTTTTAGTCGGATTCAAACATACAGAATTTTTTACTTCTTACGGAGGTTATTTGCTAAACACGAAACTCTAAGTTCCTAGTGTTAGATTTTCGTTAGCTGGTCTAGATCGCTCAAAATTAGCGGTTTATCAATTTCAAAGTTTTTGTTTATTGTTGTCATAGTAATATCGATTTTACTAAAACCTACACTTTGACAGATTTCAATCTATAGTCAATCATTGGTGAAAATTTTATAGCGATTAGACAAGGATAAAATCACTTCTAAAGCGATTGAAAGATATCGATATGGCCTCTGAAAAACTATATCGAAACACCTTAAATCCAAAATGGTTTCTGCGCAAAAACGCCAAGGAGTCGCAGTCTCATCTCAAGTCCGAGAAAAAAATTAAGAAAAAATGTAAAGAAGAACGGAAATAGAGGACGAAACAGAAAATGAAAAACGCCAAACGCCTGAAGTTAGTAACCCTGACATGTTCCCGTATGGAGGTTGCAACAGAGATAAAAGAGGGTATCTGTGTCACGGTTCCAAGTGCTGAAATACTCAGTGTCACCACAAATCAATGACAATACTAAGGAAAAAGAGACTTCCAGAACAGCGGAAGAACAAGGAGATGATCGGAACAAGCTTTTAAGCCTTAAGTGCATAATGACACTACAAATTTGCCTTTATGTGTTTCTCGAATTAAGGGCGGAGTCTTCCTGTCTGACTTTTTTTTTTTTTTTTTTTTTTTTTTTTAATATTTTTTAATTAAAGCATTTCTTACGTTTACATACAAAATAGAAATTAAGAAAGGGAAAAAAATATATAGTACAAACAAACAAACAAACAAACAAAAAAAATACAAAGCTAAACAAAGCTATTACAGCAATAAGTTACTTAGCATGTAAATTACAATGACATCTCTTTAAACTTATTGTTGAAATTAATCATAACATCACTTTTACGTAAAAACGCTTATTAACTTTTCCCACTTTCTAAAATGATTGTTTAATTTGTCTCTTTTCCTGGCAATATGGAGTTCGATGTTATAAATACGCCTTGTCCTGGCTATAAAACCTTGAAGAGAAGGTATACCATTCTGGTATTTCCGAGAGTAAATATAAAACTTACCCAGAAGCAACATATGGTTAAACAGGAGAAAATCTTCTGCAATATCGAACTTACCAAAAATGACGTCCTCCTCTTTAAGGTTATCAACAGAGACGTTATTATCGCGCAACCAGGACAAGACATGTTTCCAAAAACTAGATGATACTCTACAGGAAAAGAGTAAATGCTCTACGGATTCAACCTCTGTTTGGCAGAAAGCACAGGATGGCGACTCAGCCAAGCCGAAACGAAACAGTTTTTCGTTTGTAAAGACAATACGGTTTAAAATTTTAAACTGAAATTCTCTAAGTTTAGATTCTAATGTTGTGCGAAAAGGTAGCGAATAAACAATTTTCCAGGCAACATCAATGTTTGAATACTTTGCAGCTAACTTTACTTTAGCAGTAGGCGTTGTTTGTTTTTTCTCCAGGAAAAGCCGGTAGATTTGCTTTGAGGAAGCATCAAGAATTGGAACCAAATTGTTACTTATTAGGATAGCAGGTGAATCCGGAAGTGGATCAATCACCGGTGCAGTAGTTGCCCTTTTAATTGTCAAGCGCCAACTGGCAGGCATAGAGTTAATAATACCCATAATGAAGAAACCTTGCTCTGGATTGAGATTTTCTTTAGTTGAAAATAAATCGCAAATTTTTAAAAACCCTGAATCTGCAATATCTCTACGATACACAGATTTCTTATTAATGCAGAGAAGCTTGTTATTCCAAATAACTTCATTTGCAATTTCATGTAGCAAGCTGGGTGTTTTTGCATTTACTTCTGACCACGCATCGAGACATTGCTTGTAGAAACTTGGTAAATAAATTCTTAATTTAGAAGTATCAAAATTACAATGCAACATGAGCTTCCCACCAACGGGGATAAGAACCTCATTTAAAAAAGCTTTCCACGGACTTTTATAGTCTTCCAAATATTTTTTCATACATATCACTCGTCTGGTACGAACCATAGAATCAATATCGAGCATATTTAAGCCACCCTTCTCAACATCCGAAATCATTACATTTCGTTTTACTTTATCTATCCCATTCCAAATAAAATAGTAAAAAAGCGAGTCGGCCTCTTTGATAAGGTCTTTAGAAATTGGCAACACCGACGCTCTAAACATAAACTTAGGGATGGCAAAGGTTTTTACAATTTGTATTCTACCTAAGAGAGAAAGACCACGCCATTTCCACAAATTGATCGTCTTCTTAAGTGATTTCAAAGTGTTCCTAAAATTCAATTCATCTCTTTGTTTAGCGTCATAGCCAAAGTAGACGCCTAGAATTTTAATAGTGTCACAAAGATTAGGCATATCAGAATACCCCTCCCAAAGAGAACTACTATTTCCTAAAGCTAAGGCTTCGGTTTTTTCATTATTTATTTTTAAACCAGAACATTCACCAAAAGTATTCAGCGTAACGAATAGGTTGGTATAAGAACTACTGTCTTTGATAAAGCAGGTCATGTCATCAGCGAAAAGGGAAAGTTTAACAGGTTCATCTCGTATCGTAATGCCCTTAATGCCATCATCTTCTCTTATCTTTATAGCTAAGGTCTCCAAAGCTATTATGAACAGCTAGGGAGAGAGGGGATCTCCCTGCCTTACTCCCCTACTTAGTGCAAAAGGTCCTGTTGTAAAACCATTGTTCATTACACAGCTAGAGGCGTTGTTATATAAGACCCGTATCCACTGAATAAAAGAAGGACCAAAGTTAAATGCATGTAATACTCTTAAAAGAAAATTTAAATTGAGCGAGTCGAAAGCTTTTTCAAAGTCTATAGCTACTAGAATCCCAGGTATATCTTTGTACCTAGCATATTCAATCACATCATCGATCGTTCTGACGGCATCAAAAATTGTTCTCCCCTTTACAAACGCGTTTTGATTAAAATGAATTACTTCAGGAAGCACCTTTTCCAAACGCTTTGCCAAAGTTTTAGACGCCAATTTAGCATCAACATTTACAAGAGATATTGGACGCCAATTCTTCACCAACCTTTTGTCTTTTCCTTTCTTTTCAATTAAGGTGATAACGGCCTGTTTCTGTGAGTTCGATAGTTCACCGTATTCGAAAGCATAGTTCAAACTATCAACTACCAACTTTCCAAGCAAGGGCCAAAAGGCTAAGTAAAACTCGGCTGTTAAACCGTCGTTCCCTGGCGATTTATTCTTTTGGAAGGTCTGTAATGCATTATAGCATTCATCATATCTAAGGATACCCTCGCAAACTTTCCTCTTCTCCTCGGCTAAAAATGGAACATCGGTGAGATCATTTATAAACGAAGAAATTGTCTGCGTGTCTGCGGAATTTCTACCACCATAGAGATTAGAATAATATGATTCCAATTCATTCATAATCTTTTTTGGGTCGCTAGTTAATTCTCCAACAGTTGTTAAGATTTTGCGGACACTGCTTTTAGTTTTATTTGAATTTTCTAAATTCAAAAAATATTTGTTGTTTTTTTCACCCATTTCATACCAGGTTGCCCTAGAGCGAATGATTGCCCCTTGTGTAATGTAATCGTACAATTGATCATATTCTGTTTGAAGGCAATCCAGTTCCTCGAGATTTCCACTATTTGGATCAACATCACATTTTTCTGTACATTCCTTCAGCTTATCTTCCACCTTTTGTAGTTTTGTTCTTCTTTCGCGGGCTTTACCTTTACTGTATGTCATTGTTTGCTGTCTTATTTTGTATTTAATTAAATCCCATAAAACACGCTTATCCTGAACCTCTTTAAATTCCTCTAACCAATTCACATATTCAGTGGTTAAAAGTTCACAGTAGTCCGAGTCATTTACTAAGTTCGAATTGAATTTCCAGAAATTCGGTCCTCTCTCAGTTTCATCTAAGCCGCAAATTGAAAGGGTTATTGCCGAATGGTCAGTTTTTATTGATGTTTTAATCTCCGTTGAAATTATCTCATCTTGCAAACTGTCGCTTATAAGCCAAAAATCTAAACGCCTCTGCACAACCGGAGTTTTTTGACGCCAAGTAAATCGTGATGTAGTGGGGTTCCTAATACGCCAGATATCAACCAGATCGAAATCGAGGTGCATATCTTCAACTAATATTGCGGAGTCTTTCTTTCTGTTGTTTCCGCCCCGTCCATCTAAGTCAGGGTCAAGTATGACGTTAAAATCG